ATTCTGTTGGTTAGCTGTGGAGTTGTTTTAAGTCTCCATAGCTGATTCAAAATATTACATGTGGTGCTTTAGCCTTACTGCTGGGTGGGTCCTTCCTTTGTGGTCGTGTAGGTGAGGAATCATGTGGGTAAACAATACTCTGACAGGCCCTCACAGAAAACATGGCTTTGGGGCAATGTTTTTAAAACAAATTCATGCCCTGAGAGGTCCAGGAGCGCTGAATCTCCACCCAGGAGACGCTGAGCTGCCACATCTGGGCGGAGCTCTTCATACTCTGAAAATCTCTGCTTTACCTAATTATTTGAAGGCCATTATATGAGTCATCATCATACAAAAGGTAAAGTTTGAGTCATAAATGCTGGAAGTAAGACAGACCTGTAGTGAACAGATTAACTGAGGAACAAAAAACCCTTGTTTTCATGAAAAGTGTAACATTTAAAGTTACATATTTGAGCACAAATTGGAGGAATTTTTTTAAACCAATTCAAATCAAGGGGGTGTTACAATCATTACCATCAGATAAAACAAGTATAGGGACACTTTTTCTCGCATTCTTTAAACCTTTTTCCGTTACCCAAAATGTATCGTATTGATGATCATCATTAAAACTAGCATCCAACAACTTAAATTAGGTGAAATAACGAAAAAAGATCTCGAAGTCCAATCAGGTGTGTACAGGATTAACAGGAGGGGACTGCACTGAGCAAAAATACTCCGTGTTTAAGTGTAACTAACTTTCAGAGCAGATTAAACCCTGAAAATAAATCTGATTTGAGTTAATCCTCATTAAGACTGATTTCTGAGTTTTATTGTGACCGCAGGTGGGACTCGTGAAACCTTTAGAAACAGAAAACAAAAAGAAATGCAGGCCTTTCAAACAATTTCAACCTTTTTTACTCTCACAGCTGTTTATTTATTTGCACCTTTTAATTTCCCCTCTTATGTCCATTATGAAAGACTATTTATTTTATTATGATTCTTATAATTTTATTTGAGTAATTATCAAATTAACCCTCAACCAACCCTTTCATCCTCAAGCCTTTTCAGATTTCAGTCTCCTTTCAGAGCTCAGGCAGTCTTTTTGAATAAAAAGTGGATAAATAGATTCCTACCTTTTTTTAAAATGGAAAAAAATTAGGTGAGATTTCAGTGGAGATTCTTCTTCTGTTTTCCTGTCTGCGTGTTGTCTCGAAGATGCTGTTTCCTGTTGTACAAGTCTTGTACAGACAACATGGGACATATATGGAGAAATGTGAAGGTGTGGGCGGGGCTGAGCACAAACATGGGAACATAGATGATGGAAGGACCACAAGACCTGGCTGGACATGCCCTGTAGCATGCTCTGTACTCACTGAACGCTGCTGTGGAGACAAGGAGAGCTTACCTAATTTGCATCAGGGGAAAAAGAGCCACTAGGAAAAAGATTATTATGTCTCAGCACCAGAAGTCATAAAGCACATACAGAGGTTTGTGGGATTGTAGTCATAACAGTGATGCTGATGCTAATTAAAATATTTTTGGTTGTTGCTATTACAAATCGCCTAGAATAGAAAAGTGAGTCATCTGAATGACTCCTCTTTTTTTTTTTTTTTTTACCTCTGCATTCCCAGTCTACACAGTTACCACCCACCTTTCTTTACCTGCATCCCCCCTCCTCTCACTTACGCACCTACCTCTGTTGAAACTCTGATGACGAGTGTACGGAGATCAGTTTTGGAAACCGAGATGGAATGGGTTTATTTACGTAAGACCATGAGCTGGGTTTCATGGATCATGAGGACATGAAGAAATAAAAAGGAATGTGGCCTCTATTGTTGTTTGTTTTTGCCTACACAGCTGAATTTTACTGTATTTTCACAGAAACTGAACATCAGCTGTGAACTTTATATCAATGAGAATCGAGAACAAACCAAACAGAACAAGAAAAAACTGTTATTTGCTCTTTTTTAATTAGTAAATGCCTTGAATACCAACATGGGGCTTGTCCTGGCCCAGTTTCATCACAGTGCTCCAGTTGTGGAAAAGGATCTTCTGCTCACATGTTCGCTGTTGTCCACTGTTGTGTTTCCCCTCTTATCTCCAGTTCAGAGCTGTCTGTGTGATGGAGCTATTCTGAAGAAGGTTTTCACTTCATTTCTGTTGTTTTTCTGTTCTTTTCATTTTTGTGCCATAATTTTGACATATTTAGGGAGCCCACGCAAGATTTACCTTAAAAATATAAATATTTTCCAAATCACAGGCCCCTGACGTGCAACAATATTATGCGCTTTTTAAATTTGTGTGATTTTTCCTGCATTTTTCAGACCTTCTAACTTGTTTACTTGAGGAGATATCCAGGAGAAATCTTCAGGGCTCAAAAACACATTGTGGAAACCTAAGCCCACTCTGAGTGTCCTAATCTAAAATCAAAATCAGCATTTCTTTCCTATAACTAACTCTGAGCGTGGGATTTATCATAGCTTCGATAGCAAAACTGCATTAATTAATGTGCATGACTCAGACGAACAGAGACAGTGAATACTTGATATGTTTTTGTATAATTCAATGGAGGAAAAAAGTGTTTGGGGCTAACTTTCAGAGGCCATGTCACCATGTGGGATAGGTGGCAAAACAAGGTCTTCTTCTATCTACATTTTGATGCCAGGCTCATCTTCTAGTCATCATTCCTGCTGTGTGAAAATTATGTGTTAAAGTTGCATTTATTTGACATTTGTGCATAAAATGGAGAATCTTTGTCAAAATCTCTGCAATTTGAACATACAGAAGGAACTGGATCACAGAGGGTCTCTGGATCAATGGATGATCTGAATATGCGCTAGAAGATGAAGATAAGCAATCACATGATTCCTTTTGAAGTTTAGCATAAGCAAGTAAAACAAAATGCCAAATGTATATTAATATTTCTGCTTAAAAGCAGTGTTTGAAAAAATCCTTCTGAATAAAAATTTGATTTTAGTTTTATATTGTAACTCTTGGAGTCGGTGTAAACCTAGTTTGATTGGAGTTTAAGTGTGTTTTACTCCACTGAAACTTTCATGTGGTTATCTCTGTGCTAATGAAATCATGAAGACTCAAAATGATGGAAAAAATGTGGCAAATTTCAGCCCATATGTACTTCAAGAACCTGTAAATCTTAAAATGATTTATGATTGTGATAATAGTCAAATTTAGCATGCCTTCCCTAATGAAGTGGAGATACCATCTAATTATTCTGAGAAGGTTTTTAGATTGATTTATTTGAATCAGTGTAAAGGAGACAAAGTAGGAGACTAACAACATAAATATCCGCTGTATTTTTATTTGAAAGTCATATTTACAGTTGTTCTCCTCTTGCTCTCTCAAAGTGTGTGTCTTTGTGTCTTTGGCGTTGATTTTCCTCATTAAATGAGCCTCAAAGCCTCTGGACTTCTTTTATGCCTTAATGCTCTAAGCTGTAAGACAGACAGAACAAGGACTGATGGAGAGCAATAAAATGAGATCCTCACATTTTGAATCAGACCACCAGACTGAGAAGATAACACCTCCCACCTGCCAAATGCTGATAAATTCTGCAAGCAGCCCAATCCAACAGCCACATCATCAGGTAATCACATCGTTTAAAGGTGATGCATTTTGGAAAAAACAACCTACTGACACACAACTATTAATGACAGGATGATGCACCATCAAGCTGGTTGCCACCTGACCAGAGGAAACTAGTTTGATGTCGTTAGCCTTAAAAGGAAGTCTTGTTTGGTTAGGATAAAATTTTAAAATGATCATCTACAAGTTAACAAAATCAGGAGAAAGATATGAAACCTCTTTTAATGTCACAGATGCAAAGACACAGTGAACAAGGAATAATACTTCTAATTTTATGTGCACTACACATTAAGAGATACATTCCAAAAACATTCACATAGGCCAAGTGAAAGACACTCGTTGCTACTTATTTCTTGTTATTTTAGCGATTAATTCAATTACGTTTTATTTTATATAACTCAGAATCATAAACACAATATTTTAGCTTTACACATTCAGTGGGTCTACTGTAATTTGATTGTGCAACCACAATTCCCTGCTCACAGCGGAAAATGCACAAAACCACATGTAAAAATGTAAGTAGAGAGAAGTATGTTAAGTATATAGATTGAACCACTTGTGTAGATCTAGAAATACTTCTAATTGTTTGTCATTGTCGCTTTTGTGTGGCAAAGGGACCCTTTGGTGGCCCAGTTCTTGCTTTAAAGGGTCTCTATCCAAACTATGTCAGCAGAATGTCCCTCAGATTGACTGAGGGATCAATACTGTAGGGGTCAAAGAATTCTGGGTTTTTCTTTGTTAAAAATAGATTTTTACCAAAGTCCTTCTAAAGTCAAGCCAGTTGGCAGTCACCTTTAAACACATCCAGAGACTTTGTTTTCCGTTTTATTTTGAAGTATCATTGAAATTAAATTTAATGTCACTAGTCATCTAGGCATAAAAATTAAAAAATGTAGAATCATGCTTTTCACATGAAACTGTACTCTTACTTTTTATTTAGTTTTGGACTTTGGTTTTTGTATCAGACCGTTTATTTTCCATAGTGGCTTACAGCTGACTGTAACAGATGACTGACAGTACTAATGTAAAGATGCACAAAAGCCCTTTGTATTATTCGTGCGCATTTCACCACATTGACAGACCTTTTTATCATTTTATTTAGTTTATTAAACACACACTTGTGTGTGTCAGATTTTTGCTTGTATTAAAAGCCTCAACTTCAATTAACTAAGATGCATAACTAAGATCAAAGTGTGGTTTTAGGGTTTAAAGTGCAGTTCCACGTCGACACACTGGGTGGCGCGCTTTGAGCTTTAATTTAAATCTTCATTGATGCCATTGTAAAGTGCTGTAGGCGGTGCCTAAGAATAAGACGGACCGAGCGTGTATCCAATCAGATGCGAATATTGGGGAGCTGAGGTCTGCGATTGACCAATCGCTTTTTGAGAAACGTGTGAAGCCCTCGGTTTGATTCACCCTCCTGTGTTACCGTAGACGCTTCGCTAGAAACGGCCCTCTTTTAAAGTTCCTGGGGGAAGAGTGGGGCGACCCGGACAAACCGAGGGGAAAAGGGCCAAGATCGAACTCAGGGGATAAATATTTACACAGATTTCAACACGGGAGGATTAATATTAAACCGGACACAAGGTTTGACATGTTATCTATTTTCGGGTTTGATTATTTAGCTAACGTTTGCTCACTAGCCAAGGTTCAGTTTTGCTGCTGCTAGTTTATGATACTTAGCTAATAGCTACCTAGCTAGCAGAAGCTCGGTTAAGCTCATTGACTGTTTTTTGACATTGGTCGACTAGCAAGTGTGACTCATTCAGTGAATTGCGACATTATAATTTGAGTAACTCTCAGTGTCCATTCCCCGTCTTTTCCTCACAGAAATCTAAGGTGAGACACAGAAAACCATCGTCTTGAGCCCGAGAACGTCAGAAAATAAAGAAAATGGCGGAGCCGGACAAATTAAACATCGACTCTATAATTCAGCGTCTCTTGGAAGGTAAGGAGGATCAAATCCGCGTCACAGCCAAGTGTTTGTTATATTAGGGCATGTCTTGGTGGCAGTGAATTGTGTACATCATGTAGGTCAGCTGCAGTTAAAAGCGGACACAGTGTGTTGTAGTAGCCTACTTAAGATCGCTCTACTCTCAGGCTCGGTGGCTGGTTTTGGATCAGCAGTTGAAACCTAAACAACAGTGCGCTTTATAGATTGTTTAGCAAACCGTAAAGATTGGGGGTGCTGGTTTGTTTTTTTTTAAATATTTTTTAAATTTAGATGATTTGCTGTCGTGCTGTCTACAAAAGAAGGGAAACGCGTGACGCATTCTGATGCGCTATTTGCGTAGGGATATTGTGCTTTTACCTGTGTTTTTTTTTGTTTTGTTTTTTTGTTTTGTTTTTTTCTTCTTCTGAGTTTATGTAGGGGAAATGATCAGACTCGGTAGCCGTAGTGGACTATTTCCATTTTACGTGTTAATTCTCTTTGAGTAAGAGTAGTTTTATTGCTAATATATATATGCTTTAGTGATATATATCTATATCACTAAAGCACTTCTGGATGGATGCAAACTGCATTTCGTTGCCCTGTACCTGTGCATGTTTCCCTGTCCCTGTGCATGTGCAATGACAATAAAGTTGAATTCTATTCTATTCTATTCTATTCTTTTGCAGTCAGCCCCTTCCCCACTAGAGTTGTTGAGTTATTCAGAACGAAATGCAGATTTTGGTTAGTTGGTTTCAGTTAGTTTCCAGATGGGGTTTTCTCATTGTTCACGTTCTTTGTTTCAAAAATGTTTGGTTTTAGTGTCTTTTAGCTTATTTTTTTATTTTTTTTATTTTTTATTTATTTTACTGTGGAGGTTATTTGTCAGGGATATTTTCAGAAGTTCAGAATGGATGTCAAAATTAAAAGGTATCTGGCTCACACTACGTGAACCAAAGGTTGTGATAACCAATTTGATCAAATTGTCAACGACTAAAAAATGAGGATATACCTTGTTTTTATTTCAGTTTGCTTAAATGTTCCTTTACAACTGGTTTTACTTTTGATTTTAGTTCTAGTTGACTATAATAACCTTGCTTCTCGCTGGCTTGGCTGGACTGTCTGAATTTTTGTTTTTTTGCAACTGCATTTTTGGAGTTCGTTTGTAGTCTGCTTCCCTGAGAGATTTGTTAATGAGCTGTACAAACAAAAATGCTCTGATTGGGACGTAATCCATGTACTCCATGTAATGGTTATTTAAACAGGTTAGGATGCCTCTGTACAAAAGACATGAACTTTAGGAGCAGACAGGTGCATACTACAAAGACTAGATGTTCTCAGGTCACGAAAGGTATGTGCAAGACAATCTGCAGATACACAAATATGAAGAATGTGCCTTTTTTTTGTTGGCCAAGTATTTAAACTTTTGCCTTAGATCACATGTGAGGAAAAGGGCAACCAATAACTTGAATCAAGTTACAGCAACGACAACATATTTTCAAGGTAACATGAAGACCTGTGTCTCTTGTTTTTTGTTTTATAATCTAAAAGTGGTGTTGAAACACAGTTTCAGCTGCCCTCAAATGGCATCAATAAGTCTGTCCTCCATTTCAGTGTAAAGTGAATTTCCACAGGTGTTTATAATTTCCTGGAATCAGGATTTGCCTTGTTTTATATTCATTTACATGGTCTTCGTATGTAATTATGCAGTGGTAAAACAGATTTGCATTTGGTATAAACATACCATGAAAGATGCATTTAATGTTAGTCTGCAGTGGCAATAACTAGGCCTAATTTAGAAGTGCAGTTTTTTTTAGAAGCCTTGTAAAATATATTAGGGATGTTATGATACTTGGAAAAATTATAAATATAATTTATATAAAAATACAGATTATAAATGCCTGGAAAACTGTAATACTCAATAAAATGCTTAATACTGTTTTTGATACCATGAAGTTCGAACCATACAGACAGCCAAAACAAACAGACAGTGAGATAACTGTAGGGTGAGCGTGTATGGCAAATATTTCAAGATTGGGAATTTAAAAAAACAAAACAACAAAACCTATAATTTAGGTTGTCTGAGGTAGCGCTGTACGTCCGAGGACTTGACAGCATATTTCTGTTGCTGAACAAATATAGCGGGTAAGGTTGGCTGACAGTTTCTTTTCTCTGTTTCAGTCTGCAAATTTAAGAGAACACAACATATTCAGACACACACAGTAATATCATCCTGTTAAATTAACATTGTTTATGTTATATGGGCTGGACTGATAACTTTTGCTGACTGGTTTCACATTAACATTATAATTTTGTTATTAGCTACACTAGCTAGCCACCACCTTAATGATAACCTAACATGATGCTATTGTGGCTATTTAGCACAGATTTTATGTTTGATACCCTTCCTGATGCAACTCTCCCATTTATTTAGGCTTGGGAATGGCACTTGGAGTACACTAGCTTGTGGACCCCTCGATTCTGGTTTTGTGTCCATTGAATACTGGCTAATATTAATGTATGCACTAGCCAGATTAACATTAATGACTGTCTGATAATGGAAACAAAACTGACCTCTTGAAATTTTTCAGTGTTTTTAAACATCAAGTACTGTTCAGCTGCTAGTGAGGGGAGGGGCTGTGTGTGCCCCTCTTCACCCTGCTGCCTTCTGGCAGGAGATAACGGAGCATTCGGGTCCTCACTGCCAGACTGCAAAACAGTTTCTTACCCCACGACTCCCGAACACTCAGTGACTGGACTGACACACACACACACACACACACACACACACACACACACACACACACACACACACACGTCACTACCTCATCTCATGGACTAATCTGCACAATCACACGCCCACTATTGTATATCAAGTTACTTTTTTCACAATGCTCAGTCTTTTGCACAACTTACTGTCATTGTTGCACTTCTGCGTGTGTTGTGTGTCTGCACTGTCTGGTGTTGCACTGTCTCTGTTTTGTGGTTGGGTTTTTTGTGCAATTTTTGCACACTTGCACTTTATGTAGTCCTTTGTTGATTGTCTGTTATATGTAGCAGCATGGTCTTGGAGAAACGTTGTCTTGCTTCACTGTGCAGTGTTCCACTGCAAATGGTTGAAATGACATTGAAGCCACTTGACTTGAACTGGAGGAGCTAAAGATGGCACTGTGGTATCAATGCTCCTGCAAATGAGTATGTAATCCAAAAGTAATTTTTAGTGTTGATTAGCATCTGACAGTCTCTTAAAAAAACAACAAAAAAACAAACAACCATACACAAGACAGTGCCGCAGTGAGATACCATCACTGCTGATAAACAGTGCTCTGTGATAGACTCAAGGGCATCAGTGTAAACAGTATCACCATAATCAAACAGGGGTCAAAGTTTTGGATAGTACAGTGAAAGTGAAACAACAGCTCCATAAAGAAAAATGTGTTTATAATAATTAAAAAAAAGTTTTGTCTTCCATTTGGGTTTTAAAAGTGAGTGCAGCATCCTGCCAGAGTCCTAAGTGTTTAACAATATTGTAACAAACTGTTTCAGTGTTATTACCATAAAAGGTCAGTACTGTTTGGGACTCCTTGCTGCATTTGCTCCACTGCTGCTTTTAAGCACAGTACAAACTGCTTACGTCACTTCTTTGTTTCTCAAAACAAGAATTGCATTAGTATTAAAATTTATTGAAGCTATGTTCTTACTGTAAAATATGTAGTTGTTGTAAACAAATGCATTGCAATTGCATCACAAAAATCCCGAGACATTCCTGAAGCAGATATGAAGCAAGCAATATTCTGTGTTTGCTCTACATGCTAACTGTCCTGGAAATGCTTGCTTTAAATCTAACTGCTCACTGACAAATTTGTCGTGGCTTTAAGTGTGTGCGAAATAAACAGGACTGTTTTATCTTCACATCCGCGCTGTGGTTGTGTAATAGGAGCCCAGAGGACATCAAACAGAAGAATAAATGTACTCAGACCCAGCAGTACAGTTCAAACTGCGGTTAGAAGAAACTAGGTTGTGACCTCCTGTAGTTGTCCTTGCATGTCAGTGCACTGGGCACAGCAATTATGAATTTTCCCATGTGAAACTGCTAAAATGGAAAAATCTTTTTGTTATTTTGTCACTGGAGCAACATTAGAAGTGTTGTTTAGATTTTCATTTGTGTAGTAAAGGCTACTTCATATATGTATATAAAAATAGGCTTTGCTGCTTTTATTTTAAGGCCCAAATGTGTTTTGTGGCACATAGAAAAGTTATTGACCTCTGATATAACCTAGCATGACAAATCACAAAATTACTTCAGGGTGCTTTATGGATGAGGTAAATCTCTCCCACACAGTGTGATTCATTGAAATTATGCCTTTAGGGGCCACCTGATAGCCGAGTGGTTGGAGGCCTTACCACAGGGGTATAAATGACGTCAGTAGTCAGTCTCCAGTTTGATTCCCAGCAGGTCGAACCTTCATTCTCCACCACTGCCTTCTGTCTCTCTCTACCCCTGCAGCTTTCCAAAAGATGCAAAAAAAAAGTTCTTTTGACCAGTAAATTGAGAAATAACATTTGGGATAGAGTTTTATCCCAGGATCACCGCTGTTAATAAATTTGACCTTAGCCCTCAGTTTGTTTACCTTCTTTAAATATAGGCCCTGCATGATCAGCCTAAGCTGAGCTGGTGGAGGTGATTGGGATTATGTACAAATATGCATGTGCAGTCAAAGTACCTCCCAGAGAGAGTGTGCCTTTGTGGGCCATGCTGGCTGCTGCTGTTGCTGCTGCTGGAGTGTTTTGTACATAGATTGTTGTACTTGGGCTGTGATAAGACTGTCTGCCAAACAGAGGAGAAGGCAAACACGCCTGATAATGGCTGTATTTATATCCACTTATGTAACTACCGTGACCTTTTTTTATCCACATTGGTGAGGATAACCACTCGTAAGCTGATATTTGTATTCTCAGCATTCTGTTAAAGGCAGCAGACTCCCACTGCAGGCACTACATCAAAAGGTTGAGAAATT